ACAATGGGTCAATCAGCTCGAAGCGGCAAACATCGAGCTAGCAGCAGAAGAAGTCAGGGAACTCGAAGCAGCAAGCATCGAGCCTGGAAACAGCAAGTTCGCGTACTACGAAGGTACGGCGAAGAACGTGAAAACGGGACAGATTCCAGACGATTACAAGGGACACCCGGCGTTCACGGCAAAACATCTTGCAGGGCTACCAGACCACGGACCTTGGGATCACGAGATCAAACTCAAGGAGGGAGCCCAGTTGAAGTTTTTCAAGGTGTACCACACCAACGAGAAGCAAGATGCAGAGTTGAGGAGCTATCTCGAAAAGAACCTTGAGATAGGACACATCAGACCATCGACATCTCCAGCGGGTTACCCAGTCCTCTTCGTTCCAAAGAAGGATGGGAAGCTCAGGATGTGTGTGGACTACCGACAGTTGAACAACGAGACGTTGAAGAACCGCTACCCACTGCCACTGATCTCGAGGCTCCGAGATCAACTGTCAGGGGCACAATACTTCACGCGCCTCGATCTTCCGACAGCGTACGCCCACATCCGCATCAAGGAGGGAGACGAATGGAAGACGGCTTTTCGGACACCCTACGGACACTACGAGTACCTCGTCATGCCGTTTGGGTTGACCAACGCACCAGCGACGTTTCAAGCCGCTATCGATCACGCAATTCGACATTGCCTCGATAAATTTGCAGTCTGTTACTTGGATGACATTCTCATCTACTCCAAGACACTCGAAGAACACAAGAAACACGTGCGGCAGGTGCTGGACGCACTGCACGAGCACAAATTGTCAGTCAACAAGGACAAGAGCGAGTTTCATGTCAAGAAGACAGTGTTTCTGGGTTACGAAATCTCCCCGGGATGGGTCAAAATCGAACCCGAGAAACTGGAAGCTGTCAAGACGTGGCCGACACCGACGAACGCCACAGAGGTCAGAGGATTTATCGGATTCGCCAACTTCGTCAGAATGTTCATCAAGAATTTTGGCGACTTCGCGAGACCTCTGCACGAACTTACCAAAAAGGATGCCACATTCCAGTGGAAGCGGGAGCACGAGCAGGCTTTCCAGCGGATCCGCGATGCGATCATCGCCGACCCGGTGCTCATGCTGCCTGATCCAAGCACACCTTTCGAAGTCGAGGCTGATGCTTCGGACTTCGCGATCGGAGGGCAACTTGGTCAGAGGGACAAGGACGGCAAGCTTCACCCAGTTGCGTTCTTCTCCAAGAAACTCGAAGGACCAAGGCTTAACTACCCGATCCATGACAAGGAGCTTCTCGCAATCATTGAAGCATTTCAGGAATGGAGGCCATACCTCAGCGGCACGACACACGAAGTCCAGGTGTACACGGACCACAAGAACTTACGATACTTCACCACCACCAAGGTGCTGAACGGACGACAGACTCGGTGGGCAGAATTTCTGTCCGAATTCAACTTCACGATCCACTACAAGAAAGGCTCAGAGAACGCACGAGCAGATGCCTTGAGTAGGAGAGCGGATCATCACGACAACACATCTGAAGTCTCACCACCATTGCTACATCAACAGACAGACGGATCGCTACGGCACGCTTCCCAACCGACTGAAGACTACGAGATCGCAGCACTTCAGCAGCAGTCGGAAGATCCCGAAGGCAGGCCTCTGCAACCGTTTGTAGAATGTTGTGCGACTTTCAGGGAACAACGACTGGAACGAGACTTCCAGGGAATCATCGCGGACGACAAGCGCGATGCATGGCAAGAAGAGCTGGAATCCAAGATCGCAGGTTTGCGACTTGAAGGGACGAGACTCTGGTACCACGACAAGGCCTACGTCAGGCTTAGTGACCAAAAGGAGCTCATTCGAAAGATCCACGAGTCAAGACTCGGAGGACACATGGGAATCAGCAAGACAATTGCAAAAGTCAAGCAGAACTACGACTTCCCAGGAATCAAGCAAGCGACGGAAGAAGTCCTGGCAGAGTGCGACCTCTGCGGACGAAGCAAACCGCCACGACACAAGCCATACGGGCTGTTGCAACCATTGCCAGTCGCGGAACGACCATGGAGTTCGGTGACGATGGACTTCATCACCAAACTACCACTGTCCAAGGACTCGGTAACGGGAGTGGAATACGACAGCATCCTCACAACGGTGGACAGACTCACCAAGTGGAGCTACTTCCTCCCTTACAAGGAAACATGGTCGGCAGAACAACTTGCAGACGTGATCTATCGCAACGTCACCTCGGTCCACGGATGGCCGGAGGAATGGATCACGGACAGAGACACGAAGTTCGCATCAAAGTTTTGGCAAGCTCTGATGACGAAGCTGGGTACGAAGAGTAAGCTCTCGACTGCTTACCACCCACAGACGGACGGACAGACGGAACGACTCAACCAGGTCGTCGAGCAATATCTACGGTTGTACGTCAACTTCCAGCAGGACGATTGGGTCGAGCTGTTGCCAGCAGCACAACTCGCCTACAACACCACCGTCACGGAGACCACGAAGGTCACGCCATTCTTCGCGAATTACGGCTACGAAGCAGATTTGCGACAGGGGCCCGATGTCTCGGTACCCCGAGCGGCAGTCAAAGCCGACAAGATGAGCTCGCTGCATGCGATGCTCAAGGAAGAACTCGAGTTCGTACGAACCAGGATGAAGAAGTTCTACGACAGAAACAGGCTCGAGGGACCTCGCCTAGAGGAGGGGGGCAAAGTTTACCTCGTTTCTCGAAATCTTCGCACGAAGCGACCAAGCAGGAAACTCGATTTTCGCAAAATCGGACCGTTCAAGATCGACAAAAGGATTTCGGAGAACAACTACGCACTCGCGTTACCCTCGACAATGCGACTACGGACCAACGTTTTCCACATCTCGCTTCTGGAACCAACGCCCGAGAACGCGCGACTCGACAAGGACGCCGAAGCAGAAGACGAAGAGGAGGAATGGGACGTTGAGGAAGTCCTAGATTCACGCATCATGAAAGGACAGTTGGAGTATTTGGTCAAATGGCTGGACTTTGGCCCAGAAGACAATTCATGGCAACCAGCTACCAACCTCAACTGCCCCGAGAAACTTCAGGAGTTCCACCAGAGGAATCCGGACCGACCAAAGGAAGCCCCACAGACAAGTCGGCCCCGGCGAGGAAGGGGTCGTCCGAAGAAAAACTAAGCACTGTCAGCAAGGAAGCAAGGAGGGGAGTAAAGAAGACAAACTTTTGAACCCAAGGAAAGTCAAAAGAAGGAACGCCGGCGACACCCGAGGAAGACGGTTGCCCGGTAGCAACCTCCCGGCGCTCCTGCTCCACGAACACCTCCCGCTCCTGCTCAAACATCGCCAGAGCCTTCTGTTTCAGGGCCAGGCGCTGAGTCCGCAGGCGGTCCGCCTTTTCCAGAGCCGTCATAAGGGCACGGCTCGCGTCAGAACGAGCACTTCGAATCTCATCCAACGCCGCGCGCTCTTTCTCGTCCAGCTCCCCGAGAGCGCGGTTAGCAGCGCGGATGGCCTCCGTCGCGGCACGCTCTTTCTCGTCCAGATTGCGTTCTTGATCCACCAGTCGGCGAACAGCAGAATCGTCGTTGCCAAAGGCGTCGCACGAATAGTTGCCGGCGCGAAGACAGCTACCACAGACGTCGGAGTTTTCGGCGGCTTTGCAGTCCGGAAGCTTTAGCGTTTTGCAACGAGTACACGTCACCATTGCGCTTCCAATCAAGTCGGCAAGGAGAGCCCCAGTGTGACGTCGTTCAGTGCTGGATTTCTGTTTCCGCTTTTGTTTCCGTTTCCTTATACCGTCAGTCATGGTGGAAGAATGAGTGGGGAGAACAAGGGAACCTACTAACCCAATGGGATTGGGGACTATTGGCACTATTTCAGGAAGTTGGCTGGGAAGTGCGGCCGACGGGACGTCGACCCTGGAGGAGGGGCATCGTGTCACGAGTATGCCGACCTCGGGGCGCGGGACGCCCCGAGCTGGTTACGGTAGACGGACCAATTAAAGAAGAAAGGGGGTGATCAGTGAGCTCAGTCGCCAAGCACTTGCCAAGTGTACTGAGCACACTGAGCACTTGGACCGCGCCACCAATCAGGACACGAGGAAGGTACTCAGGGAGCTCAGTCCGCTCAGTAGGCTCAGTGTCCGGAGAGCACACTGAGCACACTGAGCACACTGAGCACCCAAGAATTAGATAGGTATATAGTCACTCGTTCTGGAGAGCTCTGGGAGTTCTCCAGTTAGCAATCACAACTACAGTTCGCTACAAGCTCGAGAGCCTACTGTTGAGACAAGTCTTTGTTGTGCACCCTTTGGCTGCACCGAACCTAAGCACCCTTGAGAGAATACCTTCGACCGATACTGAACCCTAACAGGACGGGTCCAGAGACAGGTTCGTCACAGGTACGTAACCTGGGTGGGCCCGGTACAGGTCCGTTCCAGAGCTACACCGGATACGGTACGGTCAGGACAAAGCTCCTAACCTCTCGTTAGCCGGGCATAGCCCGGCCCTTAACACTAAGCTATAAATTAATTAATTAAAATTAGAGAGAGGGTGGCAAATATAGGTGGCAAATATTGCTATTTTTATCTTAAGAAGTATTGAGTGTAGCTGTTTAATCTAGAGTTCACTTTCAAAAGGCTCTATGTTCGAGTCCTCGAAGGTACTCTATTTTTTCGTAAGTCTTATAATTGTAAATTCGTAAAGTGAAAATTTGTAAAGTGAAAATTCGTAAAGTGAAAATTCGTAAAGTATAAATTTATAAACTGTAAATTTGTAAAATTCGTAAAATTCGTAAAATTCGTAAAACTTAATAAGTAAATAAATTAAATAAATAAATAAATACTAGAAAATTAATATTTAAATTTTTTAATTGAAAAAAAGGCTTGTAAAATGGATTTGGCTGCGAGTTGGTTTTTCAGTATCGAAATTGTCTTGGAAGAAAATCGTCTCTGGGCTCTCTGGCCATTTTCGGCCGGAAACCATTTTCAAATGACGTCCGTCAGAGATCAGTCATAGGTCCGGATCATTTTGGAGCCCCATGACAGTCACAGTGATCATTTTGCAACCCCCCCCCGGCGCGCTATGGTAGGTACTTGTCGGGGGTGCTCTGGGGTTCCAAAAATGGCGGGTCCAACTCTTCCAAAAATGGAACCCCAAACAGCGACACATGGACTTTTTGTGAAATAACATCGGCCAGTGGCAGCAATTTCACGGATTACGAAATGGAATCATTCAAATATTCATTAAAAAATCACGCTACATCAGATACAAATTAAACCACAACCGGAGCCTCCTCAGCCTTCCTCTCGGGCAGCGACTTGTCGCCATCCTTCGTTGTTGCACCCGCAGCGGCCTTGAACGCCTGGTCAAAGTCGGCAATGATGTCGTCGATGTGCTCCGTGCCGACCGAGATGCGGATGAGGTCCTGGTATTCTGTCAGCATCAGATGGTAAAAGAACACTCGGAATAATCAGTACTAACCTCAGTCACACCCGAGGTAACCTTCTCCTCATCGCTGAGCTGCTCGTGGGTGGTGGTCCACGGGTGGATCGCAAGGGTCTTGGAGTCGCCGACGTTGGCCAGGTTGGAGACCAGCTTGAAGCCGTCGACAATCTGGCTGCCGGCCGCGCCGCCGCCCTTGACACCGAAGCTCAGCACGCCGCCGAAGCCGCGCTTGAGGTACTTCTTGGCCGTCTCGTGCGACTGGTGGCTCTCGAGGCCGGGGTACGACACCCACGAGACGTACTCGCTCTTCTCGAGGTAGCGCGCCAGCGTGAGCGCGTTCTGGGCGTGCCGCTCGGCGCGCAGCGACAGCGTCTCGAGGCCGATCAGCAGCTGCTGGGCGCCGAAGGGGTTGAGGCAGGGCCCGAGGTCGCGCAGGATCTCGACGCGCACGCGGATGGCGAAGGTGATGGCCCCGAACGTCTCCCAGAACTTGAGCCCGTGGTAGCCCTCCGACGGCTCGACCATCTGGGGGAACCGCTTGGCGTTCTTGCCCCAGTCGAACTTGCCGCTGTCCACCACGACACCCGCAACGGTCGTGCCGTGCCCGCCGATCCACTTGGTCGCTGAGTGCACAACGATGTCGGCGCCGTGGTCGATCGGGCGCACAAAGTAGCCGCCGGCACCGAAGGTGTTGTCGACCTAGTGGTTGTCAGCTCCCCCAATATCGGCTAGCGGAAGACGTTCGCCACTTACCACAACCGGGACACCCGCATCATGGGCGACCTTGGCGATAGCCTCGAACTCGGGCACGTTGTAGCGCGGGTTACCAATGCTCTCGATGTAGACAGCCTTAGTCTTGTCGTCGATGGCGGCCGCAATGTCCTCGGGGCTGTCGCCGTTGACGAACTTGGTCGTGATGCCGAAGCGCGCGAAGAGCACCTTGAACTGGTTGTACGTGCCGCCGTAGAGGTTGGATGTCGAGACGATGTTGTCGCCATGGTGGGCAAGCGCCGCGATGGCCATGAACTGCGCGGCCTGGCCGGAGGAGGCAGCCACCGCAGCGACGCCGCCCTCGAGAGCCGCGATTCTCTTCTCAAAGACATCGACCGTCGGGCTGAGGGTGTCAGTCTTCCGGGGCACTCAATGTCTGCTTCCGTGTGGTATCCGACCGCACTCACTTCATAATGCGGGAGTAAATGTTGCCAAACTCCTTGAGCCCGAACAGGCGGGCGCCGTGGGCCGAGTCATTGAAGACGAAGCTCTGTTCGTACCCGTCAGCTCTCTTCCTGTGGGATTCATAGAACAAGTCAAGCTCACGGTGGTCGCGTAGATGGGGACAGCCCGGGAGTTGGTGGCCGGGTCCGGCTCCTGTCTTCTCACGATGTCAGTCTCTCATTCTTCGTTCTTCATCCGGTATCGGCTAGGAGCAATGGCAGCGGGAGCAACACATACCCCGCATGGAGCTGGAGCGTCTCGAACTTCTGATTAGACATGATGGCAAACTTGTCTTTCGACTGCGAGGGGTATCAATGGGTATCACAAGTGCAGGTGCAGGAAAGCAGCAAAGTCGACTCAGAGTTTGAAGTTCGGCAACAAAGAAGGAGCGGGATAAGATGTGACGAGGACGGAGCAAGCAAGGAACCGGGTCCTAGAACTGGCGACCAAGCCCCCCTTTTCTATTCCTCGTCCCGGCCTCCCCACGCCTAGACTCCAAATACCTCACCGGCCGATCCCCAGAGTGTGCTCGTTGTTAAAAAACGCCTTAGCCATGCCGCGGTTTGTCAATTGTTACAGACCACGCAGCAGGTCAGGGGGACTCCCGCCCAGTCGTGTGTGTTGAATTGGAGAGAGTGGGGGGGTCTTGGAGCACGCAATTGCGCCATCGGTTGATGGCGCGGGGCAGTTCCCCACGGTCCCTCTTTCTCCCTCAGGCCGGACAGGTTCGCACCCAATCAGCTCTGAAACCGCTCTTGAATTGTGAACGACTTCTTTTTTGAGGTACCTATTCGCCATCGTATTGCTTAAAGGCGAACCCCCTCTCCCATCACTGTCGAGGGGTTGACGCTGGACGTTCTTGACAACGCCGGTCATCGGAGCTCAACCAACACTCGCCTCGGGATCTCGCTTGGAGTTATGGCCCTGGAGTACCTACCTGCATTCCCCCCTCCGGTAATATGTGTGACAGATCGGGCTTGGCGTTGAGATGAGGTGAGAGATGGGAAGCATCCCACATCCGCGTGCTCTGGTGCGCTTGTGATAGCGCGGGGTAGTTTTTGTTGTCTGTCCAGAGCACCCCCAATGAGGGGTCACCTCTTTGTCAAATTGTCTCGTGCGATGTGCTCTATATGCAGATGCATGTAACCCTATCAGTCGATCATTTGCACTGTTGGGAACGAGCGTGGTTGGGTAGCCGAAAACGATGAAAGGGGTCCAGTCTCGCTGTGCTTCTGGACAGTGTCCTGTCATTTATGGTCCGCATTGCGAATTATTACATGTCTTCTCGATACCCACTTGACTGTGGAGTAGAGCGAAGGGGGTTCATGAGCATCTACGAGTATAGTAGCGAGAGGAACACCATTTGTAACACTTAGTCGGTGGTTTCCCGTACTGTTATTGCGTCTTGGTATGTGGATGTGACAACTAACACTCACCAGGAGACCCGTCCTGACAACCCGCGGGAGTCTGGAAGTTAACAATCAACACATACATTTGCCCTATATTTACCATATACCTATGTAAACAGAATACCTCCCAAGCGCGGTCTGAACCAAAAACGCCGGACCAAGCTGACCTTCGTAACCTCTCATGTCATAACAAGCCATCAAGGCCATGCTAACTGACAGCATCATCACCTCACATAACCTCGTTCCCACATCGTCGCACAGCGGCTGTCCATAAACCCCGAGGACCACCGACCCCAAACCCGACCCGGGTGGCCGAAATAAGGTGCTGACTGATCCCTTTACCGACGCAGCGGCTCGGCCCGGCCACCCCATCCGCGACCACCCCCGGCCCCCTCATACCAAGGCCATGGCCCCGACCCATTACCAAAACCCCATCAGCCAATCCACAACCCCCCCTCCGGGTAAGTAACTAAGGTTTAAACACCCTCCTTCACCGCCGACCCAGTAGCAGCAGCAGCACCCGAGCCAGCGGGCACCCCACCACCACCACCACCGGCACCCCTCTTGATCTTGAGAGCCTCGAGACAGGTAAGCACGGCCGACGCGGACCAGACGGCGAACGAAAAGGCAGAGAAAGCGGCAGCGGCCTGGGCGGTGTGGCAGACATCTCCGTGGCAGAAGAGCAGGCCGCTCAGGAAGGCGGCCAGGGCGGCGAAGCCGGCCAGGTGGAAGAGCGCGTTGGTTAGGTCGAGGGGGGCGGCGATGTAGGGTTTGGGGACTGGTGGTTGAGGAGGGGGGGTTAGTATGTGTGTACCTGTGGTGTTTGGGGTGGGTTGGGTGTTTGGGGGGGGGGGGGGGTCGGGTCGGCGTACTGCGTGGGAGGAAGCGTGGGAGGATTTCGATGCAGGCGAGCGAGATGAAGGACCAGATGGCGCCGAAGAGGAGGAAGTTGATTTGTGAGGGTGATGGGAGACTGGTCGTGGTTCTGTACCAGTTCGCGACTGGAGAGTGGTTGTCGTGTTAGCTGGGTTTTGGTTCCTCTCTGCACCGCGTGGTTCGGCTGGGGGTTGATTCTTACCAAAGCCTGATAGGATTAATACTAGGAGGGCGAAGACGCCCTGACATACCCTGATGAGGAGCATCAGGGAGAACGACATGTTTGCGAGCTTCATGATGAATAGAGGGATGGCGATACACAGCACGGAAACTCGAGAGTAAACAAGGTGAAGGAACGAGAAAGCAGCCACTGGCCAAGAAAGAAACGGAGAGATGGCAGAACTCGAGGTGGGAGCGAAACGAGAGACAGTCACCAAAAATGAAGAACGAGCGCGTCGAACAAGCGGTAAGCCGACCCGGGCCTTGAATGTCTTCACATTTAGTTAATTAGTTTGTGTGACCCATGAGGCCATCCTGAAACAGAGATCCTCAGGAACGACATTGTGCATAATATAGTAGACGGGCGGCAGAATCAGCCGGGCCAATGATGGCGGCGCAACCACCAAATTGAGGTCGCAGCGCATCGTGAGGTTGGGTTCGACGCCGGTAGTCGCAAATCCGGCGCTTGGCGTGGGCGTGATCGCTGTTGTGATGGTGGTTTCTATGTATACCTGAAGGCAGCTCACTTAAAGCTGCGAGAAACATCGAATGGCGGTCCCCCCTCGTTTGAGAGTTGGTCAGGGCTTGGACGAGACGATGCGCCTTGGCTGTCTCTGCTTCAGACAAGGCAGGGATATAAAGCGTCATGGGCGAGACGAAGCAACATTGTCGACGACAACTTTCGCAATCTCCTGAACACTCGTTCCAAGTCTTTCGCTTTTGTTCCCCGATGAGAAGATGTAGACGAGAAGAGGGCAAAATAGGAAGCCGAGAACCACGAAACCAGGGAGCCCGTGGAAACGGAGTGTTGAATCCGAGTACTGAACGCGCCGAGCGAGCACTAATGAACTCCCCGGCAGCAGATGCGCCCAATCCTCTTATCTTCCTCCAGAAAAAAAAAAAGAAGAAAAAAGCCTGACTCTTGAATCACATGTCGCAACGCCTTGGTGTTCTGTTCGATTCGTCGGTTGCTTCGCGTTTAGGGGGTTGGCGGGGGGTGCGGGGCCAGACTTTGGATGACGCTTGGCTGAGACCTGATACCAGGTGGACCGTGCATCGAAGCCAAGTCAATACCCCAGCAAATGAATCGCGGGGTGAACGCTCGGCGTTGCGGCCCCACTAAACTATCTGCATGCGGGCTGCTAGCCGAGGTCAATCTCTGCCCGAGGCAGCGACAAACAACGGGAGCGCCGTTTCACAGCTCGTGGTTTCGTCATCTCCCCAGGCACGGGCAAATGCTGTCGAACACCCTGGCGGTCTTCCTCGCTCTGTTCGGCAGCGGAAGGCGCCATTTCGTAGAGCAGGTAGAATACGCGCGACAAACCCAGGTTGCAAACAATTGGTACTTTTCTTCCAGCCTTGTCTACTACCTAGCTATACTAATTGGTACCACCCGAGTCGAGTAAAGTTTCCGTTGAGCTGTCTCACTTTCGCCATTTGCTCCGCACCCCTCACGCGGCATGGAATTCCCCGCAGATCGAACTTCACCAACGTTCTTCGAGATCTTTTTTGATCGCCCCAGTGAATGAAATGCCATTTCGGGCTGTCGCCGCATGCAATGCAGGTCGCGTCGCCAGTAAAGGAAGTCGCGCCGTGCAGAGGGACTCCCTGAGAGGCTCCAGAACCTGAAGGATCCGCCCTCGCACCAGTGGCCTGCTGACGATTGGAAAAGCCCGCGCCATCCACTCTCGTTGCCCCGACCCCACCCCTGAAGCATGCCAGCCGAGGCTGACCCTCGGTCTCGTCGGCCGACAGGTACACCGTGTATAACACCATGCTTGATACATTTTGCAATATTCTGGTTTATGACGCAACATAAAAGGAAGTAAACAGACCACTTGAATCGCAAACGCTTGGAAATGCCAAATCCCAGATTTTAGTACTCAATTTCTCTTGGGGGGATGGTGACCTTTTAAAGAGCACTGCTTCCAAGTTGAGAGGCAAGTATCTCCTGCCGGGGATCCTCAATTTGGCAACATCAACCGCTTCCAGCTTGGCTTCCTATCCCTGTCAGCACTCGGCCCAGGACGCCTCGAGGGCGAGATGACCTGCAGCCGAATGCCGACCCTCCCTTCGAAAAGGGGACCATCTTCCAAACTTTTGGCTTTCGTCTTTTGTCCCTTTTGTTCCCGTTTAAGCAGTCTCAACTCTCAGTATTAACGACTTAGGAAATCCGTGACGTGACGCTCGCGCGCAAACCTCCCATCCTTCCCTCGGTCGCTTCGGACCGTTCTCTCGCTTTGTCTGGCGCTCCTTTTCCGGGCCTCGCAAACGATCCCTACCCCGAAACTCAACTTCCCCCTCACTCCAAACTGCCACCGCCGCCGCAGTCATGGCTCCTAGCAAACAAGATACCAGGGCGTACATCAGGACCCTCGCGACACCCCCGCCACCGGGCTCGCCCTACGCCCTCCCCATCCCCGGCACCGAGCGCCCCAACCGGACCCCGATCTACCGCCATTGGCGCTTTCAAAACGGCCCGTTGCTAGAGACATACGACCCCGCGGAAAGAACCATCCACGACCTCTTCGAGAACGCCGTTGCCCGGGGTCCGAAGGCCAGGTGCCTAGGATGGAGGCCTTGGAATGCCGTCACCAAGACATTTGAGCCCAAGTACGTCTGGCTGACGTATGCCGAGGTTGCCGAGCGGAGAAAGAATTTCGGTGCCGGTATCGTCGAGCTGCACCACCAGATTGGCGTTAAGGAGGACAAGTATCCCGTAGGCCTGTGGGCGCAGAACCGCCCCGAGTGGCAGATGACCGAGCTGGCGCTACTCTCACAGTCACTGTGGCCCGTCTCTCTGTACGAGACCCTCGGCCCCGAGACGAGCGAGTACATCATCAACCACAGCGGCCTGACGGCCATCGCCTGTTCACTGCCGCATATTCCGACCCTGCTGAAGCTGGCCCCGCGCGTCCCTTCGCTCAAACTCATCATCTCGCTCGACCCTCTCGACGCCGGTGAGGTGCCGGGCCACTCAAAGCGTGAGCTGCTGAATGCCACTGCCGCCAATGTCGGCATCCAGATTTTCTCCATGACCGAGGTAGAGGCCCTTGGTGCGCGCTCCGGCCGCGCCATGCGCCCTCCCACGGCCGACGATATCCTGACCATCAACTACACCTCGGGCACTACCGGCGACCCGAAGGGTGTTCTCATCACGCACAAGAACGGCGTGGCCGGCATTAGCGCGGCCCGGTCCAACGAGACCGTATTCGCCGGCGACGTCCACATCTCGTACCTTCCCTTGGCGCATATTTATGGCCGTATGGCGGACCAGACTGCGCTGGCTGAGGGGGCGAGCATTGGCTATTTCCATGGCGACATCACTACGCTAATCGAGGACATCAAGATCCTCCGGCCGTCGGGCTTCATGTCGGTGCCCCGCCTATTCAACCGCATCAACTCGGCCATCCAAGCGGCGACCGTCGAGGCCGACGGCTTCAAGGGAAGTTTGTCGCGCCGCGTCATCGACACCAAGAAGGCAAACATGAAGCTGCCCAACGGCCAGGCCACCAACAAGCACTTCCTGTACGATCGCATCTGGACCCCCAAGGTGCTCAAGGCAGTGGGCCTGCAGCGCGCCCGCACCATGGTGAGCGGCAGCGCCCAGCTCGACCCGGACGTACACCAGTTCCTCCGCGCCGCCTTTGGCAATAACTTTATCCAGGGCTTCGGCATGACCGAGACGTACGCGGTCGGCACCGTCCAGGTGCCCGGCGACTTCACGACGGGCAACATCGGACCCCCGTGCCCGTCGGTCGAGCTGTGCATCGAGTCGGTGCCCGAATACGAGTACACGGTCGACGACAAGCCGAACCCGCGCGGCGAGCTGCTGATGCGCGGGCCCATCATCTTCCAGGAGTACTTCCGCAACCCGGAGGAGACGGCCAAGTCGATCGAGCCCGACGGATGGTTCCACACGGGCGACATCGTCGAGGTCGACAGCATGGGCCGGTTCAAGATCATCGACCGCAAGAAGAACGTGCTCAAGCTCGCCCAGGGCGAGTACATCTCGCCCGAGCGCATCGAGAACGTCTACATGGGCGCCACCAACCTGATCGCCATGGCCTTCGTGCACGGCGACCCCAAGGAGTCGTCCCTCGTCGCCGTCTTCGGCATCGACCCGGTCACCTTCGCCCCCTACGCCAGTAAGATCCTCAAGAAGGCCGTCCCGGCCGACGACAAGGACGCCCTCCGCCAGGCCGCCAACGACCCGCGCGTCAAGACCGCCTTCCTCAAGCTGCTCGAGCAGATCGGCAAGCGCCACAAGTTCAACAGCTTCGAGAAGGTTAAGAACTGCATCTTTGACGTTGAGCCCTTCTCGATCGAGAATGAGCTGCTGACACCTACGTATGTCTTTTTATCCCTTCTTTTATTCCGGCCCCTTCCGTCTCTTCTCTTTTTCATCCGAAAAGAGGGAGAGATGGAGAATGTAATTGAGATGATTGGGGACCATGATGCTAACACGAGACGAAATAGACTCAAGCTCAAGCGGCCCCAGACGGCCCGGGCCTTCCGGAACGAGATTGACCGCATGTATGAGGAGATTGCTGCCAACGTGGTCGAGAAGCCTAAGCTCTGATCCTGTGTTTTACCTGTGGGTAAGGGATGGGTGGGTCGATGCATGGCGTTGTACTTATTCTGAGCGGGAGGTATTTTGGCTTTCCTGATGTAGTAGTTTGCACTGGTTTTGGCAGCCAGTGGGTTTTGTATACAACTGAATGCTGTAGAGAGGTGTCTATACAAGCGATTATGTATTATTTGTTAGTGTTTTTATAGCGATGCTATACATCGTATACACATGATTAAAATGGAACCTGTGGTATATTATAGAGATGTATAAGATGTAAGCTGCTTACTAGTACCTTGTGTTGCAGTCGAACCTTTATATAGGTACCTAGCATTAGGAAATATTTGTATTTGGTTAAATTTCTGTGATCCCTTGAGATTGCCAGTGATAGCAACACGCAACACAGCATGCACAGTACGCGGGTTTCGGAGTGTGGACCCCAGCGGGTGGGGCGTTGAGTTCCGCAGCCGGGCATCGAGGCAACCCGCTTGCGATAGTATCAGACTA